AGGTCAGTGAGGTTCTGTAGGTCAGAGAGGTTCTGTAGGTCAGGGAGGTTCTGTAGGTCAGTGAGGTTCTGTAGGTCAGAGAGGTTCTGTAGGTCAGGGAGGTTCTGTAGGTCAGGGAGGTTCTGTAGGACTATGCCAGAAGTTTTGCTGCACGTCGTGACAGTCCCTGTGAGGTTGTTGAAGATGAACCCAACAATGTTCAGCCAGGTCGTCTGGCCAGTTCCTTTTTATTGTAGAGAGACGTTTCACCCTCCATCAGTTCTTGTCTGATTATTGAGCATGAACCTCGATGTCTTCAACAACTTTGACTGTTTCCTGTGAGGAGTCGACGGGGGAGAGGACGTCCCCAGAAACATCTTATCACCATCCAGCTGGTTGGTCCACTGCAGGAGTGTACTGCTTGGTGGGGAGAACCTTTTCTCAGACTGATGAAGCCCTTTGGATTGAGGGTGAAATGTGTCTCAGCACAAAAAAGGAAGTGTGCAGATGACCTGAGTGAACATTGTTGAGCTTCTTCACCTGGATTATTGAGCATGAACTATTAGAAGATGAAGGAAACGTTAAAAAGAGACTCAGGAAAACAAAAGTTAAACCTTCTCAGATCCTGAGCTTTTATTGAACGTGCAGTTTAGTTGCTCAGATTCCTTTTTAACAAAAAACAACTTTTTATTTTTGCCAAATCAAACTTTGTGCTTTAGTGCACCAAATGACTGACAAATGTGTGATTAAAAAAAACAAACTCAAAATGATGAAGAAATGAATAAAAGTACGGTTGTCCATCTGAACATTGAAGCGCATGCTGTTTTATGAATAATTGTTAGAGCGCTGATGTTTAAACCTCATCAAAGATTCATATCAGTCATTTGTGTCTTTTAGATGAGCGCTGATAAAGAAGACAAACTAAATGAGCGCTGATGAAGAAGACAAACTAAGACATGTTTCATTTTAAGTCAGGTTTTGGAGGGAAATGTAATTTATTTGAAACTCCGTGTTCATTTGAAGTTAACAGTTTATAAGTGAGATCAGGGATTAATAAAGATGATTTCCTTCATAACACATTGAAAGACCAAACAAAAGGTTCTGGTTGTCATGAGGCAGCACGAGGCCACTGGTGGCCCACTTGGGTTTATTCTGGATTAATTAAAGCCCGGATCTGACGGGGGCTGCTGAGCCTCTGCTCTTATATATTGATTATTCTAATATAAAACAGAACTATTGATCTTTTTTGATGTGCAGCATTAAAGGGATGAGTTAGACGTGCTCACAACATCTGGTTTTGTTGTGTGCGTGGATAAAAAGCTCATTTCTAAAGAGTTCATTAACATGGACGTTGAAATACAGGATGCTCTTTAGACTTGGGGGAGGAGAGGAGAGGGGGTCAAGTGACGAGCGATTATATACTTCCTCATAATAATATTAATTAAACAATTTGCATGCTAATAGGGTAACAATGATGGCAGCTTCTGTTCAGAGATCCAGGTTATTACAACATGCCAATCCTGGAGCCAAGGGTCAGGGAGGGGGTGGGCTGCCAAATTTCATCTGTGAGTAACATCATGACAGCGGCAGACTTGAGATAAATAAAGTCAAATTAATTCTCTGAAAAAAAAAAGGTAAATAAATTAATGCGCAGACAGGATTTAGACCGCGCGCACACGGAGCGCATCTTTAGTTTAAAACAACTTTCATCAACGTTTTGAGCTGTGCGTCTTTAAATAGATCCATTTTTATTTGCTTTAGTTGTTTTATTTAAAATCCTCTCGTTTAACCGTTGATCTATAAATGCTCAGATTTATTTCATTAAAAACTGAGAAAAGAGCCCAGATCAAAAAAAAAAAAAAAAGTCTCCCAAGAGTCATTTTATTTTATTTTATTTTATTTGAACATATAAGAACAATCAAAGTAAAAGACATGATCGTACTAATAGAAAAAGATCAAAAGTGTAGAGTATTTAGTTTCCTGTTCTGGAAGCTGCTCTCATCCATCCGCGTGCACCTCCTCTTCCCGGGATTCAATGAGCCCTTCCTCCCGGTGGGTCTCCCGTGTAGCTGCGATGCAGTTCTTATCAAAGCCCTCCTGTCTTGTTGTGACAGCCTCTGATATTGTTTATCGAGGTGGATGTCAGCTTTAATTAGCAATCGATACGGGGGAGCGCTCGAGCGCGCCTCTGACGTCAGCGCCCATTACCGCCTCTGATTGGGTGACGCGCTCTCAGAGCCTGGGCTAATTATTGGGAGGGTTCCGTGTGGATAAAGTACAGCTCGGCCCTCCCTTCTCATCATGTCCCCCTCTCGTTGGCCACGCGCGCTGCATGCTGTTTAAATCGCCGTCGCCGGCCTCCACACGTCGCTTCCTCTTGCCTGCGGGATGATGGACAGCAGGATACTGGATGCACCGCACGCCCAGTTCGGAGGCTCTCTCGGCGGGATGGTGGGCTTCCCGTACCACCTGAGCCACCATCACGTCTACGAATTAGCGGGGCATCAACTTCAATCCGCGTCCGCGGTTCCCTTCTCAATAGACGGATTACTTAACGGCTCGTGCGCGGCGTCGGTGGGTAATTCCAACCCGCTCTTGTCTTCGGGCTGCGGGCTGAATGGACTGAATGGAGACAATCAGCAGTACAAACTGACAGGTGAGCCACATGATCCACAATGAGCTCTCCTCAAAGACAAAGACGAAAAGAAAGAAAGAAAGAGAGCAGGACATCGAGCCAAACCTCTTACGCACCGTGCGTCCATTCATTTACCCAAGAAACAACCACATTTCTGTCACTCAGCAGTACCAGAACAACAGTTGCTGCTTTTATTCACACGCACAAAACAGGGCAACAATTGAATGTGTTTGCCTTTGAACTTGCCATCGTTGTGTTGCTGCTTTGTTTCCATGTTGTTTCCTCTTCTCATTTTGCTGCCAGACTCGGGGGACCCAGACAAAGACAGCCCCGGCTGCAAGAGGAGAAGAACACGCACGAATTTCACTGGTTGGCAGCTGGAGGAGCTAGAAAAGGCTTTTAATGAGAGCCACTACCCGGACGTGTTCATGAGGGAGGCTCTGGCCCTCCGGCTGGACCTGATAGAGTCCAGGGTCCAGGTAAATGTTCTGGGTCTGTTCTTTGTTTACATGGACCCATGGCTGCAGAACCACTTCCTCAGGTGTTTCAGTGATTACTACCAATGTGCGTTTTTCTGTCACATGCATGGATTTATTTCATTTACAAGGAAATATTAGTAATTATTGTTGCTCTGTTTTTGTGATTTTTTTCAAATGTCTCATAGTCAAATAAATCAGATTTAAACACTTTAATTTTGATTTTTAAGCATTAAAATACTATTTTTATTAGAGAAATAGTTATTTTAGAATATAATTATATTTTCAAATAATTTCTAAAACATGAATAGTGGTTTTGTGTTTTATTTTATTAAAAGCAACAAAAAATGTGAGAATTTTTTTGTTTGTTATTATTATTATTTATTTGTGCAAGTTTATATATTTATTTTAATTTACAGCAACAAAAAGTGTGTTTATTTAAAAATATATATATTTCAGTTTTATTACAGCAGAAATTTAGTTTGAAATCCTTTTAGTGCAACGTTGTTATAAAAGTGCACATTAAAAATAAAAGCTTGATGAAAGAACAAGTATTATTTTAAAATCTTTTTATTCTTCTTGCAGCCCTGTGCGTGCGTGCGTGCGTGCGTGCGTGCGCAGCACACTCACTGCTCCGCGCTCTGTTTCTCCTCAGGTCTGGTTTCAGAACCGCAGAGCCAAATGGCGGAAAAAGGAGAACACCAAGAAGGGTCCGGGTCGACCTGCGCACAACGCGCACCCCACCACGTGCAGCGGGGAGCCCATGGACCCGGAGGAGATCGCCCGGAGAGAACTGGACCGGCTGGAGAAGAAGAAGCGGAAGCAGGAGCGCCGGCTGCTCAAGTCCCAGAACAAACTGCTGTCCGGGGATTTATTCCACACGCCGGGCTCGGACAGTGACAGCGGGGTGTCCCACGTCACCGACAGCGACCACAACACGTGCCCGCCCTTTGACTCTGTCATGAGCAACCAGTCCAACCATCAAGAGCCTCTCCAGGCGCAGAACCAAAGACTCCTGGACCGGGAGGATGGCGGGTCCGAGCTGGACTCCCCTGACCCCAGCAGCCACCGCTCCACGAGCCTGTGCACGGGCAGCACCAGCAGAACCTCGAGCCTGCAGAAACTCAACCCCTTCAGCGTGGAGAGCCTCCTGTCGGACTCCAGACCGAGGCGCAGCCCGGCGGCCTTACCCCCCTCCTCGCGGCCTTTCATAGGGAAGGGTCACTTCCTGCTCTACCCCATCACGCAGCCGCTCGGATTCATAGTTCCTCAGACGGCCCTGAAGACCAGCACGGTGCACGGGGACAGCGACGCCCCCCTGGCGGCCTGCAGGAGCGGCTCGCCGGGACCCGAGGACGGGGCGGGTTCCCCGCACATGAGCCCGTCCAGGGCCGCCTTATCTGCCGGGACACACACCTCAGTGATTTGCAGCGACTCCACTTTTGCCCACGAACACAGCCCACAGCTCGAAGCGGACAAAGCCGAGCGTTTGGTGAACGAGGAGCACTCTGACCCCCCCAGTGCCTGTCTTGCACTGCCTACAGGAGACCTGGAGTAAATGTGATGAAATGGCACCTCGATTAGGCCAAAGCTGAAGGTACTCATTGCAGAGTGTAAAAGAAATGCTGCAGCTCAAAGTGAGGGTCTGCGCTCGACGTAAACAAAGCACTTTTCTCTGAGCAGGAACATTTAGCCTTGTCCTCCTCTTCTTCACCTCTTCTGGTCACCACCACTGTGACAACTGTCGATTTAAGGACACATTAACGATTGAAATAAGAAGAATGAGACGTGGCCAGTTCACTTTCTTCATGTTTACTGGGATCGGTCCGTTGCAATGAGTACCTTTAACCTTTAGCCACATCTCCTTTAGGCTCCAGCCGAAAACTCCACAAACAGCTGCTGAAATGTTCACACTTCCCTTCTTTTTATCCTGCAAGTGTGTGTGTGTGAGTCAGGAGGCCATGCCATTTCATATGATGACTTGTCAACAACAACAACAACAACACAAACAAAACTCCTCAAGAGCTGTAAGGAAGGTATTATACTATTTATATATGTAAGGTTTTTCTTAAATAAATCTATTGTATACAAGCCCTTGAGATTGTGTGAGCTCCTGAGCAGCAGCAGCAGCAGCAGCAGCAGCAGCAGCAGCAGCTTCCTTTAAGAAATCTCTCGTTGTACTTTGTGTATTGCCTTAACAAATGTATTCATCTAGAAGCCCCCGCTGAAATGAGGTTACGAGCCCTAGGCGAAAAGGACCCGCTCCACTCCTGCAGAGTTTTGATATGAAAGTAATTATTTTCCCGGTGGCTACTGCGGGGGGATTCAGTTTATTTTAGCTCAAAGGGGGTTATAATACATTACCGATTTCTAGTGATATGAAATCACATAAACTTCCAAGAATAATAGAATTAGCATGAAAAGGCCTGGGTGTCAAATTGAAATAGGAAAATAATAGCCCTGGCAGCTGGGAGTGTGTGTGTGTTTGTGCATATTGGATAGGAGGTGGTGATTCATAGGGAGGCATTTTCATGAGGACCCCCCCCCCCACACACACACACACACCTCTTCTTCCTCTCCCCTCGTCCTCTCTCTCCACCCTGTCAGGGCCCCTTGTAGCGGGGCTGTATTAAGATAGATGTTCCATGATATCCCTCATTGTTCTGTCGCTTTACATCCATGTTTGTGTGTTATCAGCCTATTGATCACGCGCCGGCTGTAACAGGACGGGCTGAGGCCAACGTGCCTATTTACAATAGCAGAACACATTTGTTCTAATAGGGTTGGGGGTCCCCGGGGAGGCCGTGCAGGATCTGGGACATCTGCTCCCGTTTCCCTTGTTTTTATTAGCTGCTGACCACAAAATCAAACTGAGCCAAATGTCCAAGAGGAACGTGACAAATGACAATTCAAAGGGAATAACAGTTAAGAGTTTTTATCTTTTTCTCGTGCAGTTTTGTTAAAAAAGCATAAAAAGGTCCTTTAAGTGTTCGGGGCCTTGATTTGCAAATAAATTGGAAATAATCCGAAGGGGCCGAGCGTCAAATGAATCCAGGAGCCGGTGTCCCTTTCAAAATATTTACATCCATTTCAGCCCGTGCAGCTGTTTGCTTTACCAAGCTGTTAGTGTGTGTGTGTGTGTGTGTGTGTGGCGTGCACAGGGCGAGCACGCTCTGGATCAGGGCCTGCGTGGCTCTGGGTTAAAGGTGGCTGCTTGAACACAGCTCACATCAGAGCTCTTGTTTATTCACATGCTCAGCTGTTTTTTATTGAAATTCACATCAATCTTACACATGAACGGAAAATAAAACCCCTCATGAATCAAACATTAAAAAATAAATTATGTGTAAAGGTGATTCTGAAATGCGGGTATGCACTCCATGTAAACAAAGTACTTTTACCTGCGTACTGCGGAGCAGAAACTAGTAACGCATCTAAAGTGTCAGAGTTCAGCGTCGCTGACCTTTTTTACTCACCTGGACTGTTTCCTAGAAACAAACTAACCGTTGACAAATTTCTACTTTAAAAACACAACGATCCATCAATATGAGAAAAAAGTACAGATTTTTATTTCTTCCATCAATATTTTTAAATTAATATTGTCTTTTTAACTTTTTATCTTGCACCTTTAATTCACTTTAAATGTTCAAATCAGTGTTTTCTTTTCAAATGTGTATTTGTAATTATTTGTCCTCCTGCACGCTCTTCAGGGTTTATTTATTTGATTTGATTTGATTATGTTTGGGACACGTGCCCAGTTCATCCATAATTCATCAGCCTGTGAATGGGAGTATCTGTGGCTGCACATTGGTGGCCTGCAGGTGAAATGAGCGCTTTGCTTAAGTAGTTAAGCTTTTCTTGCCTGAGAGCTGCACGAGTCGAGACAAACTATCAATCGATGCGCCCGGCAGCCTCCACGAGACGTGTCGCCATGAATCATACTTTATGAATTCAATTTATAGCCGCAGAAATTTTCAATTTGAACGCCGGATCATTACGGGAGAGTGTAAATTGTTTTTTGCTCTATTATGCATCGGACGCCATCATTTTTCTTTCTAATTACGGAGGTGTCAGGTCGGGCTGTCATGCACACGCTGATTTTCAATTGAACTGATCATCATGCATTCATTTTGCCCTCTGATAAATCTGCTGTGTGGAAGCGCGTGCATGCCCGGAATGCTGGAGGAGAGGCGCAGATTGGCGGAGTAATAGGGGCCTGTATGCGGCAATAAGTGCAGATCAGGCAGCTAATTTAGCACCTCCCGCTACTTCCACTTCCATTTCTCATTTCCAACTCTCAAAGGACGAAAAGCAGCCCAGAGGCACGAGAGCTGGAAGGGGTTTCACATGGGGGGGGGGGTCCACCAAAACGGCTTGTTTTCATCCACACATTCCCCTTCAATTAGGATATCAAACTTAATTAAGGCTAATAGAGTTTTCTCGCTGTGCGTTGGTTTTATTTAATAGAAACAAATTTGCGCAATTAATTAGGGCCAACTTTATTAGGAGGCTCGTTTCAGCAGCTGCAGCGCAAAACTTCTCATTTATCCAACACACGACTAAAGGCTTTCACTGAAGGCGCCCAGCCCAGGCATCACAACTCTGACTTCTTTATCTCCAAGTAAAGGAACTTGGACTAAAGTGCGCGGCGCTCTGGCGGGAGAAATCATTTTGCGCGTGAGGTTTTAGATTGTCCAGGTGCACAAAGCATAAAAAACTTGAATGTCATGTTCTTGTCTGAGCTGATGCACTGGTTCTTACTTGTGTTTTCCAAAAGAGTGCATGATTTTTTAAAGTTTCATGTTGAAATCAGCTAAATGGACAGTTACGCTCCGCACGCGCGCTTTGGGTTGGAGACAGTTTGGTTAAAAAAAAAAAATAAAAAACCTGGACCGTGTCCCTTTAAAAGAATCCTCCGTGAAATAAAAAGCCACTTGACATTTGGCTTCTCCTGCAGCATCTCTGTCAGGATTATTTTCCGTGCCACGCTCATTAATGCGCAGCAGGATTTAATCGTTCTTATCGTTCACGCGCATACCTGGGATCAGCTTGAAATTAGCATCTGCACTGATTTCTGGACAACCCTTAGAATGATTTTAATTAACTGCTATGCAATAAAAAAACAGACCTTCTGAATTAAAAATAAAATAAATAAATAAATAAAAAAGTTTGAATTAATAAATTTCAGTTTTTTAAATCAAATTTTCATCTTTAACCAAATATTATTTTCACTTTTTGTTTTTTATATTTTGTATCTAACCAAAAACGAAACAAAACAACAGAACATTTAATTTATTGTTCTTTGGAAACATTTTTACATTTGTGCATTTTTTTTAATATTCTGGATGAATCATGCAGAAAAAAAACCTGAAAAAATACTGTGAAATTATATCTTTTTTAATTAAAAATTCCTTTCAGTAATATAAAACTTTCTTTTAAATAAGATATTTTATAAAATGACCCTAAAAAAAAAACAATGTTCACCTTTTATGGCTTTATTTAAAACTAATATGTATCTGTATGTTTACAACTATTTTTAACAGCACAGTTTTTGTTTCTTCCTTAAAAAATAAAATGATTCTGCTTTTCTTTGAGAACAGACAGTAAAATACAAATTTCGGTTCTGCTAATGCACAAATGATCTCAAATAATGTAATTCATATAAAGCTTCCACAAAAAGTTGAAAAATGTGAATACTGGTCTGTGCAAACACACATCTCTCCTCTTTTCTCACGGAATATTGTCCGTTTCTTCATTATGCACGTGCAGATTATGCTGGGATGGCTGTGGGGAAGGATTAGAATATTACATTTACATCGTGCTTTGACTGAAGCTTCTTCAAAACCTGTTGCCGTGATCAAGTCCTGCAATGAACCTTTCTTTGATTTATAAAAACAATTCTTAGGATGAAAAAAATAGGAGATAAATCCATGAAAGTTTTAAAGATTTAAGTTTGTTGTAAGAGAAATGCTGAAAACAAATGTCTGTGAAGAGAAAAGATTTGTGCTGCTGATTGTAAAACGGCTTCATTGAGTCTTTATTTAGAGGAATGATCAACTTAAAGATTCAACATGGCACAAAGTTTGTGGCTTGGAACAATCATCTTTCTCTTCCTGAGCAGATGTGAGTTTCGTGTGACACACGTATAAACATGAGGATCATCGTCGCAGGATATAACGTCCTCAGACCTCAGTCCTCTGCTGAACAGTTCAAATTATAATGTTCTAAAAACTTTGACACTGTGCTCCATGAAGCACCCTGATACAAATTCAACTTGTTACTGGTGAAAAGGTCACACAGAACCAGTCCTTTCCAAATGTGAATAATAATAATTATAATAGATCACATCTTTTTTCTCCTAAAATTAACTAAACCTGGCAATTGAGCAGAGCATGACAGTTTTCTACGCGGCCCTATACATCCCAATTATCACTTCTTCTGTTGCTTCCACACGGAGACAAAAATAGGATGAAAACATTCAGGATGAAAGTGCATCTTGTCCATGTGGCTGCAGTTCCATGTGCGCCGGCTAACCTCCTGACAAAACAGCCCCGTCAC